TCTTATCCTGTCGTGTCTGCACTTAAAATGTCAAAGGGAATTTCTGTCCATTGTAAGATGCACCTGTGAGCGCATCTTGCAAAGACGTCATTTTCAATCCGGAGAAAGTGACAAATTTGTATCTTCCGATGGACATATTTTTATTTTGTCCAACTACAGATACAATTTTGTCACTGCACAAGCTTCAAAATTGCATCTTGCAAGATGCGCTCACAGATGCATATTGCAATCGACAACAGTTGTCCCTTGACATCGAGTGTGGTGGTAAGCTGTGAAACTGTGGTGACAGTTTTTTCTTTTTTCAAAACATCTACACACTAAATATAAAATGACTTTGACTGTCCATAGAAAGACGCGTTTTTGTGCACATCTCAGTCGGATGCAGATTGGAATCTATCAAGTGAGAAATTTGCATCTTAATGATAGACAAAAAAAATAATTGTCCTGTGAAAGGATGCTAATTTCTCACCTTGCTGGATTCAAATCTGCACCCGGCTGACATGTGCACAAAAACGCGTCTTTCTATGGGCAGTAAAAGTCCTTTCAGATTTAGTGTGCAGTGAGGCACACGAACACTGTTGCCCCGTGATAGGGAACTCCAACGAGCGATGGGTTTTGTGCTGCAGACCGCGGTTGGTGGTTTTGAACTCCCCCTCCCTCACTCGGTTGGTAGTTATCTGACGATTGGCGCGGGCAGTACCGGGCATGTGCCGAATGTACCCTGCTGGGCTGGGCTGCCGTGGCTACTCTACACCTTCTCATTTCACTACAACCACAACCGACCTCCGTGGGTACGAGCTGACGCTGAGAGCGCTCTGTCGTATCTGTTCCGCTCCGATCTTGCCTCCTCTGCCCACGCGGCTTTCAATACTCATCCTCTGTCTCACTCTCGCATCTCTGTCGTCACGGCGACCGCCTATATTGCTTTGCTTCCCCGATTGCTGCGTAGTAGCCGAATAAACTCGCTGGCTTCGACTGCGCAGTGCTTATTGACAATCAGCAAACGTCTGCTGGGTTAATAGAGAAAAAAATGCTGCTCGGGTGTCTTTTCTTATCTCGTGGATGTGCCGCCATTGTTCTACGGACAATTATGCCTGACTGATTGACGTGCTAGGAATGAGCCTTCTCGACGGAGAAATTATTTCCACGACTGCACCATTAAATATCCGCGCGGATCCGTCTCCCTCTTCCTCTCCGTCGGGTACACACTCAATACATTATTCATCCCCTGTGCAGCCGTCCCTGTCGCTCTCATTACGGCCCCCGGATAAGCCCCCGCTGCCTCCACGGCACGTCTCCAATACATCACGGAGGGTAAGGGCGGGAGGCCGTGAATACCATATCAGCTCCGCGGTTTCATCTCCTTTTATTTCGATCTGACCACATGAAGGGGCAATCACGGATGAGGTTAGAGACCCTGCTGTGGGTTTTGCCCCCCCCCCCCATTCCCCTCATCCCGCCCACTTCGGCCCGAGCGGCGAGGCGCGGGGGCGCAGAGAATCTCGAGGCTGGCTGAGGGTCACATGGGGCCCCCGCGGAACGGGGCGGAACGCCCCACACGGTTGGGGCTGTTGACTCGCCCTAGCCAACCGCCCGTGCACTATCAAAACTTTCCCCCTGATGCCTTTTCGTGCCGCCGCGAAAAACGTGTTAAGTAATGCGAATGCTTCCAAACTCGATAGAAACAATAACATTTTCTCTGAAACTAGTCCCGCTAGCTTCCAAATTCTGACTGAACTTTTTCGGGCGGCCTGTGCGAGATAACAACCATTTACTGCTTTTTATTATTCATTGTCTCTTTTACGTAAAACGAAATAGAAACACACACACACACGCGCGCAAGCTTACTGTGCATTGACATTCTATTTCACCGTCGCTTTCTTTTTTTATTCCGATTCGGAACAGCTGCGCCGTAGTGTCGGACGTTTCTTTCTCTTATTGTCACACCACTGCTCGCGAGTAACAAAAACGCAAGCTGCGTGACACTACCTTTTCCAATCCGATCACAGCAGACCGCAGTGCCATGGCATTAAATGACAGTAGCTACCTCGTGTAGCGGTCCGAGGTCCTTTCCCATACAGCTGCTGCCCCCTTCCCCTCATCCCTCCTCCCCACTCACACACACAGTGCTCGGCAGCCGTCGTCGGCAGCCCGGCTAGCTCAATAAAGCAGGATGTTACTTGGGCGTGGCGCAGCGTCGCGCGGGTGTTTACGGCGTGCGGAGGTGGTGGGGGGCGGGGGCGAGCTGATTTACAATTTAAGTCTCGTCGTAGCGCGCGAGGAAGGCAACAAAAAGTACTTAATTGGCGATCGAAGCCAGGCTCTCTCGCCCGTCCCCAACATCGCTGCCCCCCTTCCCTCTGCCCGCGCCAGATAGAGGCTGTTGATAGTGTTAGCAGCGCGACGCCGGAGGTGGAGGCTGGGCGGCCGGTGAGTGAGAGGTAATCATGCTCAGCTGCGTCTGAGAGAGGAGCCCCTTTGCGTCCTTCCTCCCGCGGTGCTCGGGAGCAGGCTCAGGATAATTACGGCGTCAATTTTTTTCATGGACTGCAGACTGAGCTTTCGTGCAATCTCGAGGATTGTATTGCGCCGGGCGGATTTCGATGATTGCGCGCCGATTATACGTGAAGAGCGGCGGTCGTACCTTAATATCTGGTTTGCAGTCTATATTTTGCGAGTATCCCGCATGGTTACCCTTCGGATTCCTAACGAATTCCTAACGGATTCCTAACGGATTCAAGGTGCGGGTAAACACGATTGCATACATAGTTTGAGCGCCCCTCGGGCAGCTTGCTCTTCGCGCACGGCGCATCCGCCGACATAGACGAACGTGTTCAGACTGTAGACACGCCGTGGGCGACTCTTTATGTAAACATTTCCAGTAACTTCGGTCGTGTTATTGTCAGAAGGAGAGTCGGCGGAGGCCTTGTGGCTGCCCCGCCCAGCCCAACCCTGCCCAACAAACTCCTGCTAATGGCGAGTGGCAAGAAGGGGGGAGCCATTCGCGGCGAATGGAATAAGTTGTAGGGAGGTTTAGTAGGGGTAAAGAGGAGGGGGGAGTGGCGCAGCCTTGACACCGTATGCTCACCGGCCACTAAAGGGGTTAAAGAAAAAACAGCGTCAAAGCTCTAGTGTATCCCTGGAGCGTGCCTAATCGCCTCTGCGCGTGCCGCAGCTGGTGCAGCTGGTGCAGCTGGTGCAGCTGGGGCAGAGCACGCACCTGTGTAGTTGAGTGCACTCGCTCCACTGAGCTCTCTGATTACTCCCGCCGCCCGCAAGAGCGAGCCAGTGCACGTACCTCGGTACCAGCACCTCAGCCCTAGCACCTCAGCCCAAGCACTTCAGCCCTAGCACCTCAGCCCTAGCACCTCAGCCTTAGTACCTCAGCCCTAGCATTTCAGCCCTAGCACCTCAGCCCGAGCTCGCCAGCACGGGATCCAAACGGAGCCGGTACGAGATAACAGCACGAGTGTGCGAGTAGAGAAACGAGGGCCCGCTCTGTGCCATATGGATTGTAATTAGGTGGAGGGGACTTGCCCCTTGGTAGAGACAGTCTTTAGGAGACTGTCTTAAAAAGTATAGCCTGCGTAGGAACTTAGGAACCGCGTTTCTCCTCTCTTCTCGTGCGTGTCGCCGTCGCATCCGCGTACGCCCCTTGCAGAGTTAACTGCCCCCAAATCTTCCACGTCGCATCTCTACGTTGTCGGCTACCAACCCTGCTCTTGTCTTCAATCCTTGACCACCACCCACTACCTCTCACTACCACTACCTCCACTCCACCAGTTGCTGTGCTGGGGGCTTCGCGAGTAATTGCCGAAAGGCCAGGCGCGCGGGATGGTGACAGGCGACGGGAGGGAAGTGGGAGGGGAGGGCCTCTTCTTGTTCCGCTGACGGACGGCGCACGGCCGAGCAGGCGGCCTCGTTGAGGTAGGCGCGTGCGCACGGCGGCGGAGAGTGGTGGGCCGCTCGGGATTTACCGCCAAGCGCGTTGCCTGGCAGGTCACGTCTCCCTGAAAGAAAGTCAAGGTAGGAAAGTGAAAAAGAAGAGCAGGGTGGGTGGTAGTGCAGCAGGTGCCGCCTGGGCTCTAGCGAAAGTCCACGTGCTTGAAGAGTTACATATTGGACCTATTGGTTGAGGAACTTAGAGCTTGGGTGCATATGGAAATTTTCGTTGCATATTCCTGTTTGGTTTAAAGTTGGACAGAAAATATTAACGCGCCCACAAAATAATCAAATCCTTGAAAGCAAACAGCCTTGAATCCGGGAAATAATCTTCCTGCTGAAGCTCTTTTATAGAAACGTTGCATCAATAAGGAAAACTTGACAAGTTTTACATGTTTGACTAAGGAGTCAACCTTGATAACAAATCAAAGTTCCTTATAAAAGTCAAATACTACCAAACGTGAAACTCCTCGATTTAAGGGTTCAATTTTATTGGTGTGGGGGCCGTCCTTTTTCACGAGGCAACGACCAGGGAGAGACTAGCCTCTAAAGCGCCCGTGTTCACTGTAAAAGTTAGAGTGGTTTTTCTTTCCTGAGTAAAGCGACACATATCTTCATCGCTCTGCCAGATGACTTAAAAATGGGTCTTATTCGGAGGCGGTGTACATGCTTATAGCTTCCCCAGGATTCATGAAATTGGATTCACAACATCGCTATCCCAGGAGCGAGTTGGTCACTCCTTGACTTGCAGTGTTTGCGGGCTGGGGGTTGTCGTTGTCTGAAGTGTTTTCCATCGGGCGTGGCTTTAGCCTTCGACCTTGCGCGTACTCTGCTCTGTGAGAGTCCTCTCAGGGTTTGCCCGGCTGCACTGATCTCAAGTCCCTTCTGCCATCATTATGCGTCGGGCAACCCCCGTAGCCCGTCGTCTCCGCTTTTTTTATTGGGTCCTTTCCCAGCAGAAGCCGCATGCATTCGAACGGCGGTACGGTCACGTCTTTAGACCGCCTGGCTTGCGTGTATAACCCCCTCCTCTCTACTACAATGTGCTCTTTTTCCAGGACATTCCCGTCCACGTGTCGGTGATCACGTTCGTGACGATTGCCTACGACCGCTACCGCTTCCTGGAGGACCCGTCGAAGCAGCGGCTGCCTGCCCTGGTGATCGCCATTGGGTCCTGGCTCACAGCCTCCTGCATCGTCGTGCCCTACCCCATTTACGTCACCTACCTCGACTTCAGCCTGAAGGTTAGTTTCTCGCCGACAAATAAAAAAATTATATATAGTGTGCTCCAGCTACGGAGGAAAACACATAAACGTTCCCGATTGTTCGAGACCTTCTTATCTCTGCGTCACGCCAGTTGTTGGGTTAGAGACTTGACCAATCAAGAGCCTTTAGGTTCTACTTCCTACTAGCTATTCTTCTCCCTCCGTTACCGAAGTACACTATTAAGATATTACCTTCGATTTATATTTAAAAACCCTAAAGAAAAAACTATGACATGAAAAGTAGGAGCACTGAGCACTGTTAAAAGCTTACAATAATTCTCACCGTAAGCTACAGTGAAAGCCTGCAGCACTGTGTAGCTTGCGGTGAAAATCACTTTAAGCTTTTAACTGTGATGGAATGCGAGGAAAAGTTGTTGCAAACATAATTCTATTCAGAATTATGAAGTAGTTCAAAATGGAAGTTGGCTGCAAATCCAGCAGTGTGCTTGGACATACGGATGTTGCTTAACAATGTACTTGGTGTGCACGCTGATGAAACAGCATATGCTAAGCAATACCACTCTCAAAAATAGTTGTAGCTTTTACGGGGAAATGAGCCAAATTGCAACTGCAAAATTACGATTCAATATTGTAAAATTACAAGCTATGCGAATCAACATCGCTTCACCGACGTAAATTTGCATATACATATTTCGTTAGTGGTAAACTACATCGTGAATTTACAAAATTTTTCACAGTGACTGTTTAATGTGTGTGCTTGTCCAGAAACGCTGTTTAATCAGCATACTTGTCCCAAGCACGCTGTTTCTGTTTAAAGAGTGTTCCGCATTGTCGGTGTAGAGTTGCGACACGTTTCCACTTATACTTGTTAGGATTGCACTGATAGCGCACACATCGCGTGGTGATTGTGCGCGCTGGGGTCGCGCCGGCCGCCGGCCCTGATGATAGTAAAACATCGAGCGATCCAAATTAATGTCGATATTATGCGTTATCTCGTGTAATTTATCAAAACGACGCGGCGCGGGGCTTGTGAATTTATGGGTCGAGCTGCTGTATGTTTTGGGGGAGCAGGGAATTACCGGCGACGCGCTCGGACCGGAGCCCCGCAGAGCATCGCGCCCGATCGCACCTCTCCCCCCCCCCCTCTCCAATTTTCCCCGCCCCTGTCGCTGTTTACCTGCCGAGTACAAATTCACCCTCTCCTCCCACCTTGTCCTGCGCTGGCGGCGGCGTCGTCCGATCTCATTCTTTTTTTTCGTTTTCTGGCAGTCTGTACACAGTGCTCCTTCACCTCGCCACCACCGCCCGCGGCTGCCCCGCCTCCCGCGCGCCCCGCGTCCCTCGGTCCGCCACTTCTATTTTCCTGCTTATTTTCAGTGTCAACAATCCGTGCGCGACAGTGCCTGCTTCGCGTGGCGCGGCACGGCGGCGTCGCCCGTGGGCGGGGTGGGATATTGCCGTCGGCTCCGAGAGGTAGCCGCACGAAAAGGAGAGGAGCGGTGTCACAACGGCGTTGCGAGGAACCAATTATCGTCCTCGTCTTGCGCCGAGGAATGTCAAGTAAAACGGCGTTAATAAAATTGGGGCATTTGTCATGCGGGGCGTGACTGCACTGCGCATCGACCCGCCGCCCGGCTGGCCCGGCCCGCGTGACGGCATGTGGACCAGGAAGTAGTGGGTCGGGCCGCCCCGCCCCGCCAGGCCACGCTGCACGCCATCACCGCCCCCATGCACGGCCCCGCGCCCCGCGATCCGTGTGAGAGAAGTTGTCACCTCCCCTGCCCCCCACCCCCCCTCCCCCTCGAGCACGGGGGCGGCCCGGCCGAGGCCGCGGCGTGCCCCACCACAATGTTGCCGACGGCTTATTGCCTTCTTTTGTTGGCCTCGCCTCGCCATCTGGCGTCGATATCAAATCGTTGTCCTAGTCGTGTTGCGGCCGCAGCGGGTGCGTCGCTTTGCCCGGCGCACCACCACCACGGGGTTGTTTCCCCCCGAAAGTAATTAACGTGTCGGGTCCGTATACCGCGTACTTGAACACACCAACCGTTTCCGGGACAAATGATGCATCAATAAATTTGAGCAGGCTTTATTGTTTGAAGTGCTCTTAAATTTTTCTCGACTGTTCTTTGTCCCTTTCTTGGAACTTTTTAGAGCGGGACCGGCGGGTGCCATGGGATGCCGGGGGACGCCGAGCTTGCTCAGCTCGCCACGCCTCCTAACACTCTCTGCAACTTTTGTCTGCGCCATTTTGCCACGGCGCCGTGCGCGACGGCCCCGGGCCGGCAAATGAATGAATGAAACCGCAAATTTGACAAACTCGAAACTGTTTTGTAAAAGTTTGTCAGCCCAAACTTTCCCACCGCCAGAAGTAATTTTCACGGTGCCATTGCGGGAGCCGAGTGGGCCGATGATAAAATTATGCTACACGCGAGCCTTTTTACCATCGGTTTGCGCCACTCTGGCTCGAGGGGCTTGTGCTGCGTGGGCGGGCGCACGGTGCGCGGCGAGGCTCGGCTCAAGAGGTGCTCTGCAGAGTTTCGTAGTGGCTGTCGCCAGCACCTGGCCCGGGGCCAGGACGGGCTTGTTGTCGACTGACACATGGCCGTCGCAGCGCGAGGCGGGGCGGGACCACCGAGGCGGCGGGACTCTCTGCACGCCTTGCCCGGCCCGGTGCGGTGCGGTTGCTCGCGTCGCGCGCAGTCGAGCCCACTGGGGTATATTGCAAATTTCGGTGTTGGGGTGGGGTGGGGGGAGCAGGCGTAGTGCATACGTGACAGCAGAACACGATGGGGGTGCGGGCGCTTCTCGTGGGAGTGCAAGAGGGACACGGGCCCCTCCAGAACACACACAACCCTCTCTCTCTCTCTCTCTCTCTCTCTCTCTCTCTCTCTCTCTCTCTCTCTCTCTCTCTCTCTCTCTCTCTC